TTGATTATTTTATATCAGTCACTACATCTTTTTAATCACATTTTGTGTTCAAATTATGACCAAACAGGTAACATGTGATTCAAACATACAAAACACTGAATCCTACAATAAAATTAAACTTATAAAATACTTCTCACTTTGAAACGTCATTGTTTCACATGCGTTAAGATTGCATCGTCTAACAGAAATAAATATCAGAGACAGTGTATATTTATATTTACATACTTTTATTTCGTATCCAGTGACAATTATGTAACATTACTGGTTGTGTAATTGATTTGTTTTGGATTTAGATAATCATTATGGGGTTTTTTAAAAATTGCAGGGAAATGCTTATATTTCTATTTCAGATGTGTTGTAGATTAAATGTAGATCTTGTGCGGGACTGGTTAAGCCGTTTTTCGTTTTTCATTTAATGCAATTTTCAATTCATGGAATTGACAGACAATTCTTGGGTACACTTGAAAACAATTTAAAATGTAAAGTGGCTCAAAGAATATATTAAATAAGTAAAGGTATATTCTATCGGAGTATCAATGTGTGATAAACGTAGATGTATTTTTTGAATCCCAAAGACTCTCTATAAATAATGAAGAGCCTGGCAGGAAACAGGACTACAGCTATATATCCAACATGTTGGCGGGCATGTTGTAGACATGTTTCTGCGTGTACGGTGTATATTTCATTAGGTAGACACATACCGTGGTTAATGCACACACAGGCAACACATTCGCCTACTAGTTTACCGTCAGTATAACACAGCTTTTAAAACAACTTTTCATATCACAGAGATGGTATCGACTCGCATCTACACTGTGGGGCAAAAGAAAGTATACACTTGAAAACTGAATTTGACCCCAAACAACTGGGCTGAAAACAGGCGCTGAAACACTGCAATCTTAAGGTCCCATAGAAAATCGAAATCCATGTCAAATGCATCAACATAGACTAACAATTTCGTGGTGGTTTCATTTTTGCTTTCTTCCGACATGCAGTTTGGAGTAGGGGATCCTCTCTGGACCCTTCCCTGGACACGGGTGTTTCTTTTGTCCGGCATTTGAAGTATGTCCTGTGTACGCCAATAGAAAAGGCGGATTAAGTTCCCGAGGATAAATCCCCAACACGAACAATGTGTATGACTTCAACTCGATTGAGTTCATACATGTGTCCCACATTGAGTTTACGTTGATCGGAGATTGTAATGAACAAAACAGTTTAAAAAATGTTTAGAAATCTTTGCGAAGAGCCGATTTTATTATTCCTAATTTGTGAATAAGCAAGCGTTTATAAATAGCTGTCAAATAACGATGATACCCCGGCATCATGACCGTACCTTGCCCGACCGGTGGCGCTCGTCATGAATACATGCACAGGCTAGTGGGTTACTGTACTTGAAAAAACACGGGGACACTATATTATAGGTAAAATAGAGAATTCAGAAACATTTGTGCCCTTGATATATCGATTAGAATGTTAAATGTCAAGGGAAGCTGTAATGTACCCACATATGGGTACCCGGTAGTTTCTAATAGGTCGGGAAAGTCTCCTATGGTGGGTTACGAAGATTGCCATGGAGTTTCACTGTGTTCCAGTTTGCTGTCTAGATTTCTTCGAGAATAATCTCCAGTGTCGAATATAGATACAATGTACTCACAAAAATAACGTTTTTGCATAATTTTTCGACACATTCACTGCATTAACATTTGTAATCGAAAACGTATATGTAATCGAGGTGAACCAGACAATGTATTCCAACGACATAACGACACATGCTCACACACGATGGGGTAGCCTAATGGTTAAAGCGTTCGCCCGTCATGCTGAAGACCCGGGTTCGAATCCCACACAGGTACAATATGTGAAGCCAATTCCTGATATCCCCCGCCTTTACATTGCTGGAATATTGCTAAAAGCGGCGTAAACTCATACTCACTCATTCACGGTAACCATTCGATTTTCTCAATGTGGACGATTCTTATGAAAAAAACAAGAGTGTTTGGTATCAGCCCTGGAATTCTCATATTAATGCTAATACACGCGATTACACCATGTTACGCATACCATGGGAAATACGGTACGTATCTTCCTCGGTACCAGCAGTCGGCGAAATGTCGGACACAATCGACGAAAGGTGTAAGCAGAGCGGAGAATTAAATTACATGAAGTGAAATTATCTGGAAAAACATGCTTGTGTCTCTCGTTCCAAACCAGAGCAGGGCTCTTCGCGTGTCAAAACCCGCGCCAGAGAATATTCCAGATACCATTCCACAATGGCCTAGTCAAGTCGCCATAACAAAAACCTCCAATAGACAAGGCGTGTTTCTTGTATTGTTCAAGCATTATTATTTTTTTCCGGATTTTTGCCATTTGTGAGAAGTCGAGCTGGCAGATTCACCGCATGCCAAACCTACCCCACCCACACTGTGCAGACATTCTCGCTTCTGTAGGGAAAGAAAAGCGTTAAGTTATATCATTGATGTCGATCTGAAATGAAGGTTTACTGAAATTAGGACCAAGACGTTGTATGTGCGGTTTAGCTCAACAATGCCGAGAGGTTGTTTACTAAAATGGAGTACATGTGTGCGGAGAATGCAATTACCCATAGAAAGGTCTTAGATAACTAACTGACTATTGATGTACTCTAGAAGACCATTTAATCTCCTGGAGGGTGGGGGTGAATAGGGAAAGGTGGGGGTAAATTATAAGCATTTGTCTTTGTGAGATACATGTTTTTTTCTCGAAAAGTAATGGGGGTTTTTTCATACCAAGCGTATTATTGTTCGGAGCAATCTGCATGGTCAGCGTTCAATTAACTTTTTACGGCCAAATTATGATTCTCAAGGATTTATTTGGAACGTACGTGGGGCGGTAGGGTAGCCTAGTCATTAAAGCGTTCGTTCGTCACGCCGAAGACCCGGGTTCGATTCCTAACATGGGTACAATGTGTGAAGCTCATTTCTGGCGTCCCCCGTCGTGATGTTGCTGGAATATCGCAAAAAGTGGCGAAAACCTCACTCACTCATGAGGAAATATGCAAAGAGGGTATTTCGTACATGCAAGCATGAGACAACCATTTGGGCGAGTTAAAATGACCCTTGAACATCATAATTGATAATAGGTATTAGGGGAATTGCGGAATGGCTTTTAATACGTACCAACAAAGGTTTAGTAGATGTGATAATCAAGAATAATATACTCATTGAAATTCAGATTTAACCTTAACAAACTTCACTGTCATTTGTAATCGCTTTTCAAAAAGGCATGAATTACAAAGAGTAAAGATAATAATGAATTTAGTTTCTCTTTTCAAATATGATAAATGTCTATAGTTTGCATGTGAAATTCATTATACGAATGGAGCCAGATTTTGAATAAATAACTAGAGGGCTACATTTAGGATGGAAATTCTTGATGCAAGACCGGCGTTATCATCGGTACTCGACAGGCACCACTGTAGTCACTAGAGTCAGCTTAGGAGTACACGCCATTGCAACACTTCTGCATATCTCCAACTGGAACATAAGGATGTTCTTATCAACATGCAACGTTGATTCTGGCACACTTTTGATGCCATCAAGGATTTCTTCATTCCTCAGATGTTGCCATTTTCATCATTCGCCCTCAGCAACCTGACCAGGAGGAGACATGCATCACAGCTGCTCTTTGGAAGAGTTTTTGTTAAGAAACGGAAAAAAAATAATGCCCAAAATATATGTTCATTCTATTTCAAAATTTGTTTTTTTAATATATATTTTGCTTCGCCTGCTGTTTTCATATCCAGTGATATGATAATCACACGCTAGTGGATGTACATTTCAAGTGATGGATATATCTTATATCGGACATGTGGACGTGCATGGCCAATCACTTGACGTCGGGATGACATCAGGTGTGTTTGACAGATAACGCATTATTTATTTGTGGAAATACGACCGGGGAGAGAGTTCTCCGGTAGATGGTGATTGCAACGTGTAGGACATCTTAGACAACTCCAACTGTAGATATACTCCACAGGGTGAGGTTTAATGTCGTTTTGAGATAAACAGGAGAATGATAGGTGACATATCACTGATTCATATAAAAACGGACATTAATAAAAAAAAAAAATTCACAAAAAAGCTTACTGCCTAAATTAGAAAAGGCAAAAACGCTGGCACATGTTATAGTATTATCACTTCTTATGGTGTATTTCTGTGTCGGTATGAGCAACTGCCTCTGTTCATCTTAACCTCAACAATAAATTACATTCCTACAGTCTGAATCCTCTTTTAAGGGGATAATCCAAATCTGTAATCTTCTGGCCTAAAAACATAATCCAACGTTAATCCAGGAACCCCAGCACCCGGAGGTTTTGTTTGGAACTTCCAAATACCTCCAAAGGAACATTATCATACGCCCCTATTGCGTTTTCACCGTGCCGTCCGAATTAACAAGGTTTCATCCAAAAGTGTAACCCCGTTATGTCGATACATACATCGATTTGAACCATTTTACTAACCCTATGAAAAATGCTATGTATCTCAAATTACGGAAAATATCAAGTCTTGACTGACACGGATGGTGTTATAACCAGCTTGAATTGATCTCCAGTAACCCATACTTGTCGTAAGAGGCGACTAACAGGATCGGGTGGTCAGGCTCCCCTGACTTGGTTGACACATGTCATCGTATCCCAATTGCGTAGATCGATGCTCATACTGCTGAGCACTGGATTGTATGGTCCAACTCACTTATTTACAGATCGCCGCCATATAGCTGGAATATTGCTGAGTGCGGTATTAAAGAACAAACCAAAACAAAAATCATGTACATTTCACAGAGCATGTGACAAGACAACATGCACTTTCTACTGTTAATGTAAATGACTGTTATCATGTACAATTCTTTTCTTTTTTCAGTAACAGGTTTATGTTGATGTTAAGATGTCGAGGTAACGATACCACCATTTTCTTGTCAAATGATATGCTTCACTAAAAGCAACTGACACATGTATATTTCAGATGGCCGGTGACCGCCAGTAAGCCACTTATCAAGTCAGGATGCACATGTCAGGTTTGTTCGCGTCGTCGCTTGTGATGTTGCTGATTGCAGCCGTCGCCTACTTCATCTCCCTGGCAACAACGTCATGGTCAACGTCAGGGAAGGATCTGGCATTTGGAATCTGGAACTTCTGCTTCTTACAATTGATGGATGGAGAAAACCGCTTGACCTGCCTGCCCAATAAAGCTGGTGAGAGCGTTGACAGTGACGTCTAAATATGTTTGTTTTGTTGTTTAACGCCGCACTCAGCATTACATTCCAACTCTACTACGGCGGTCTGTAAATAATCGAGTCTGAACCTAAAAATCAGGTGATTCACATTAAGAGCATCGATCTACGTAATGACTATACCGTGAAATCATGAACATCGATCTACGCAGTTGGGATACGGTTGACTGCTTGATCTGACAGCGGTCTGTAAATAATCATGTCTGGAACAGACAATCTAGTGATCAATATCATCAGCATCAGTCTACGCATTTGGGGCACCTTGACATGTGTCAACCAAGCCATCGAGCCTGACACTTGATCCCTTTAGTTGCCATTAACGATAGGCATGGGTTACTGAAGACCAGTTCTTCATGGTTTTCTGGTTATGTCGATCTCTTTGAACGCTTCCAGGGCAGGTTCTGACGATGCCACATTATAATATCGGCACTCTAAGTTGAATATCGCGATACTTCTCCATGGTGCCATAAACGATTACCCATCGTAAAAAATGACAAAGTATAAGTGAAGTGACGAAGTGAGGTTTCTTATTAATGGGGAGGATAGGAGTTGGTAAGTGGTCTAACGCCCCTCAATCGACTAATCGTGGGTTCGAATCCCAGATTAGTTCAGAGAGCTCTTATGTGTCTGAAAAACCCCTTGTTATACGTGTATGTTAGAAGCGGGTGTTACAAAACACATCTTGTTCTCGGTAAATATTTAACAGTTGTGTTTTCCCTTCCACTGAATTTTAAACAAACTATTAAAACGATAATGAAATCATCAAATGCGCCATTTATTGGCCAAAAATAGTAGTATTATGCTCAAAGGTATTTGTTTGTAAGAAATAACCACATCGTTTAATTTCACGGTCAATGATGTATCCCAAACCGTGTAATTGAAGATGTAGAGATTGCAAGCGACTTAACCCTAAACCAATCGCTTTATAACCGCGGGGCACCATGGTGTGCAGTGATATATATAAGTAGATAATCAGTGTCTACAGGGTTAATGACCCATATGCGGAAGAATTGTTCCTTAGAGCTACAAAGTTTGACGAGTTTCAGCACTTGAAAACTAACCCTTAAACAATTTGGATAAAAAAGTTACCATTTACTTTATCAGAACCCCATTAAGTTTCCGAAAACGAAATAAAACCTACTTGGTGTAGGAACTGTTTCTCAAGGAGCGTATTTCAGTAACTGTATATTAAGCGGTTTATCGGCCATTTATTGCTTTTCCTTGGGCTAAACATTCATTGATAGTTTAAAAGTCTGACAAGACGCCTATTTGCCTACATGTTTATGACTTTCCAATTTCTCGTACGTGAATAAACCTGGTTGCCCCTTTCTAACATTGTGTCCATTTCTTTTATTTGATGGCGTTTCCATTACCAATTCCCCAATGTAGTACTTCTCGGCGGGATCTCATCAGCTCGTGTCACGCTCGTGGCAACAGAAGATACGGTTGAGCGAAATGGCGACATCAGAACTCGATTAAAGATGGCGGCATGTGTAACGATGCAGAGGGGCGGAGGCAATAATGATTAATAACGGAGGTTAATAGAAAGGCCAATTACTTTAACAGCTTAGGTACAACGTTTGCACAGATAACACTTGTCAGTGACAACGCGAATTGTGAGGTCCGAATCCATTCAGACGAGAAATCTAATATGACCGTGTGGATTGCAAATTTTCTTTAAGCGCATTTTTTCTGTAATGAAAAAGAGAACGTTTTAACATAAGTGCGTTAATTTTGCGAGTGCATCTGTTGTGGTAATTAGGTTTTGTTAGCACGAAGACACGACCTCGCTTATTACCTTGAGAACATGGGTAGTTCCATATGGTTCACTTAAAGAACTGTTGTTCTCGAATTGGTTAAACGATAGAAATATTTTCTTGATTGCCTGTATTTACCTTTGAACTGGTATTGTATGTCAAACGTTTTATCTTATCTGCTTAAGGTAAGAATGGTTTATTGTGTATTGGATAGCATGAATACTTACATCACTTATATAATATGTACCTTTACTACTACTGCTAATAATAATTCTACTACTACTACTACTACTACTACTACTACTACAACTGCTACTGCTGCTGCTGCTGCTGCTGCTACTACTCTTTCTCTTCTCTTTGTTTTTGTTTAATGCCGCGTATATTTAAGGTACATGACGGCGGTATGTGAATAACCTACATTCCAGTGATTGAAATACTGAGCATCGATCTGTCGATCTTCACCAAAGATATTACATGTATCAAATTGTTATTTTTATCATATTGCTTTGTTGTTGCTTTCACACCTAGTTCTTTTATGGATCGATTCCAGGTGAGCTATAGTCTGTCATACAGACCCTGAAACAAATATATCCAAGAAAGCCCATGTCAAGTCTAGAATTTCACAGTTTCTGAAAATGAAAAAAGTCTCAGGGCTCCTTTTCATTATGTTTTATTATTTGTTCTTGTGAACTTTTCTTTCTGTAAAATATGTTCATTTCAGAGACTAGTTTTTAATCTACAGACCGTTTGATTTCATTTGAGACCGTGAATTGCTCACTAACACAAACTCTAATAATTGCAACAAAACCAAATTTTGCACAGTCACATAAAATCGACAGACCAACTCTGATGATTTGTCACATAATTTTGGACACCCGAATAAAAATGTTGTGTAACAAACGATCATTATTTTGTTGTCACTTCTCGCTATTTTTTCAAATGAAATCAAACGGACTGTAGGTAAACTACTGTATTAGTAAGAATCGACTTACGTCAGTCTCATTATGTTTGTTTGTTGTTTACCGACTCAGCGATATTCCAGCTTTTTGACGGCGATTTTGTAAATAATCAAGTCTGAAGCAGTCAATCCGGTGACTGACAACATGAGCATCGATCTACACAGTCGGGGTACGATGGCATGCATCAACCATGTCAGAGAGCATCCCAGTCCCGCGTTAGTCGCCTCGTTAGGTGAGAATGGGTTGCTGAAGAGCAATTCTGACCCGGATCTTCACGGTGTACTGCTACTACTGCTGCTGCTGCTGCTGCTGCTACTACTGCTGATGATGTTGCTACTTCTACTACTGCTACTACTACTACTTCTACTACTACTACCACCACTACTGCTGATGTTCCTACTTCTACTACTACTGCTGCTGCTACTACTACTACTACTAAAACTACTACTACTACTACCACCACTGCTGATGTTGCTACTTCTACTACTGCTGCTACGTCTACTACTACTATTACCACTACTGCTGATGTTGCTACTTCTACTACTGCTGCTGCTACTACTACTACTGCTAATAAATAATAATAATAATAATAATACAACTACTACTACTGCTGCTGCTACTTCTACTGCTGCCACTCTACCTCGTCCTCCTACTACATAGCTATTTCTACCACAATCACCACCACCGCAGATTCTGCAACTCCTTCAGACTCTACCAAGTTACTTAGTCGCTCACTTAACAACAGCAGTCGTTAATGCTACTAACGTTGCTCCCAATGCTGCTGCTGCAGCTGACGCTTCAAATGCAGCAGTTGCTGCTGCTGCTGCTACTAATACTTCCAGGATGAAGACGTAAGCAGGCCACGCCGAATACCCGAGTCCTCTGAACATATAGTAACAATGTGTGACTTGAATAACTTGAATATTGATACAGCGGCATAAAACAATACTCATTCACATAATATAGCATTAACATTGCCTCGCTGATTTCTGTGAGACTGGTGTCGACTCGATATAAACAATCAAATTGTAATGAGAACATATTATAATTATCTTCAACGTTATTATCATCATCATGATTATTTTTTTCAGATTTCAGTATGGCAGCCCAGGCCTTCTCTATTCTGGCTGTGATGTGTTACGCAGTCTCATTCCTCCTCTACCTCGCATACATCGTCTTCCCGTCGTTGTCGAAGTCCCGGCCAATCACGATGGGGCTCTGCCTGCTCTCTTTCTGCGTTGGTAGGTATAATCAAGTGAAACATACACCTATGCCAAATATACGCGAAAGTTGAATTTATACTGAACTGTGAATATCAAGATACAGAAACGCTAATCTATACATACATACGCTAATTTTAGTCATAAGAAAATATTTAATTATATTTGAGGCTGATCGTATGTATTCCAGACAACACTTCACGTTGTCATGAGAACCTTACCTATCGACATGAACATTTATTTCGTGTAATTTCTTCAACTGATATAAGTATAGGCAAATTGGTTTACTGATGACAAGTTGAAGGACGCAAAATGAAAGAAATAAGACTCAATACCATGGTTGGCTTGAGGTTAGATTCATAAAACTTCTTGAGAAAAATACATTTCACTTTTTTCCTACTTTTGCAGAATTTATAGGGCAAACTCAACAGGAAAACATATCGTTTTTGCTTAAGATGAATGATAGCAAATTAAAAGGAACCGCTTCAGAACCATCAGCGTGTAACAGTAAATATGAACTCCACATCTGCACTATACTTGTGAGAATTTACGGTTAAAAATACATCAAACTATCTTAAAACAGGAAAGGAAAAAATAGCAGCATATATACTTGACAACAACACATTTGACATATCCAAGAGGCACATTTTCCTTGTGAAAAACACACTTTCAACATGTGTTATCTTCTTCTGATATAATGCAGCGGTAATGAAGCTGTATGTCACACAGTTTAATCGTTTGTGGGATTACAATCAGTGAGAAAATGAATTATTTCTCTGTTAAATGAATCTGCAGACAACAAAAGTTTGAGAAACGTCAATGACGTCATCTGTTGAGATCTCCATGTCAACTCACACCCCTCATCAAAGCCACCAATTACGCAGCGAAGTGATACAAACATTTCACTTGCCACTACAAACGTGAAAATTACGCTTGTTACATATGCCAAATTGCATTGAAAATATACTTCAAACTATCTCGACTAAAAAGAGTTCGTTTAACGATGTTGCACGTGCAGGCGAATCTGAAAATGATAAACGAGATCCCAGGGGACCTAAGTCAACGATGTCACTGCTTCTGTTTAGACAACCACTTAACATTCGCTCGTATCAAAAGAATATCTTCAGAAAAAGGGACGGGAATTTCCCAAATCTCTTTAACTTCAGACAAGAGCAAAGATGATACAAATTAACACAGCAGTTCCCTACAAGCCATGAGAAACGTGATTCACGATGAGCCGACGGGAGAAATTACGCATACGGGTCGGGGCTAGACACGGAGTCTGCAACTCCCAAGCCATTTGAGATTTTTAACGAGCGCGTTTTTCACCTGATGGTTTTCATTACCGTTTGTTTGTTTACCTGAATTCGGAAACCCTTTGCCAATCAAGTGCTTACAAATTAGTATCCTTTCTGGAAATATATTTTCACAGATAACGTATTTCCCCCTTTGAACCCTGCTCCTTGAGCAGCTTTTTGTGATCTTGTTCTTCTGGCTGAAGAAACGTCATTACTGTCCAGATAAACAATTCATTGGACGCCATTGAATCAACACTAGCCTGGTTCTGAGATTATGAAACTGTAATGATTTAACACTGAAAACACTTCTTTGACGTCACTCGGTTGCTGAAACAGTCCATTGTTTTTCACGAACTGGCGGTTGGTTGTCAATTATTCATACCTACATTATCCTGAACACACATTTAAATTATTGCACACTTGGCTGAACTGTTTATTGTTTTGATAGGATTGTTAACAAAAATAAGAAACTATTTTTTTAATGTCGCATTTACACGATATACGGCTTTTCAATTAGACGAGAGGAAGGTTACATGTCCAGGGAACTGACATTCTTAAGTGTATGAACGTCACATTCTGACGTTTACACACGTTACAAGAGAAAACATTTCCCAGTCATCTGGCCGAGTGACCAATCACAAAAGCCACACATATCATATACAAAATGTACTCCAGTGAATTAACACAAAGTGAAAATTTATTATTAGTGTAGATCCACATTTGATAGTGGCTAAACAGGAAACTAACACGTAGTGGTCATTGGATGATGTATGTGGTTCGGACATGATAGTAGTGTTTAGCATCTAAGTAATCAGCGTGTTACTGACTGAAACCAACCTCGTAACGGTTAGATAAAGTTTGTAATAAAAGATATTTTCAGGATTGTACTTTCCTTTCTCGGCACATTTTGTCATCCTCAGTATTAACATCCATGTAGGGAAAAGATGTGCTACTGTTACCAGGGTTTTGTTTTCAATGGTCTGATTCATGTCATTTCAAATATGTGCTGTGTACCATCACAAAGGTTTGGTTTGGTTTGGTCGTTGTTTAACGCCGCACTCAGCTATATTCCTGTTATATGGCGGCGTCCATCACAATGAGGAGCGGTGGGGTAGGCTTGTGGACAAAGCCATCCCTCGCCATTTGGTTGCCCGGGTTTAATTTACAATGCGGAAGACCCTTTGTGGGGTCGACCACTGTGATATTGCTGTCTAATGCGGCATAAGACCAAAGTCAGTACTGCATTAGTGTGTGTGTGTTTGTGTGTGTATGTGCGTGTGCGCGTGTCCATGTGACCCCAATGGTTAATAATGTGAATGTTGTTATTGACTGACTGACTGACTGACTGAGTTTGGTTTTACGCCGCTTTTAGCAATATTCCAGCAACATAACGGCGGGGGACACCAGAAATGGGCTTCACTCACTGTACCCATGTGGGGATTCGAACCCGGGATTCGGCGCGACGAGCCAACGCTTTAACCACTAGACTACCCCACCGCCCCGAATGTTGTTATTGGTATCCCCTACGAACTGTCGACACAAAGCAGTCGGTGGAACAGTCTTTTCTCTGTTTATACCGCAGGAAAAACTACCATAAAACAATGACCGCGCCGCCGCCATAGAGAATGAACAGGTAAACAGAACTTAGCCGGATGCAGAGTGACTATCTACAACAGTAGACATGACAGAAACAATTATTGTAATGATCCTTGTATTTCCATGACAACAGTACGGGATGCTCATTCTTTCTTTTATTGCAGTGTGCCTCCAGATTATGACAATGATCGTCTACGGGGTCAAGGTCGGAGAGTACTTCCGGAAAGTGGAGCTCCGCCATTTCAGCCACAATCTCGATTCATTGTCCATTTCTTGGTCATTTGCCTTTGCCATTGTGTCCACTCTTGTTGGCACGGCAGCGGGAGTGTGCACGTTTATTGAGCTGAGGAACATCACAATCGAAGATCTCCTTTAAAGCACAAGATCCCTCTTTAAAAGGGACATTTCTACGATACAGAATAATTCCGAGGAAACGACAGATTTGAGAAACAAACTTTACGTTTTTTGTCAGTGTTGATAAAGGTTTCCTATTGGATTTGAAAATGTGAACAACAAAGGACACATGATGTTGAAAGACGAACAGCAAATGAGGATGTTAAGAATGATTGAAAACATCATGAATCACTTCATTCCCAGTCAGAACCTAGAACCTTCACTGTGAATTATGGCCACATGACGTAGCCTGTTACCATGACGATGTCATCTGGAGACGTTAAATGTTCAGAACAAAATATATCTTTACGTGTATGTCCGTGATGATTTCATGGAAAACTGGCAAGTCATGTTGAGGAATGGTGGCATCGCAAGAAAGTGCCACCTCCACTCTCTGGACCTCCACAAAACCTTCGTAAACTTCGGAGCTCTGAATCCTAAACATAATTCCCGTTGAGCTGGAAACGTTTCGGACAATTTGTTACACTTGGTGTCGTGTACTTCCTGTACCTCAAAGTGGAAACTAAGCTATTTCTGAGAGCCCTTTGCATCATCTGAGATGCCCTTGACTGCAAGCTGCTAAACAAATGGCTCGTAACAACAACGTTAAAATAAGTTGACCAAACCAAATGCGTTCCCAGATCTCGTCAAGCAACCGATACTGGCATTTTTTCAATAGAAGTGTCCCGAACAGTGATAACATGTTATGAATACGATGTGCCAGTTTCGAGGATGGATGCCATCTTCTTGTTTTGGGAAGAGCCGTACGTGTTTGAACATTACTCATCCTTACTCGCTCCATGATGGATCGTACTAGAGAAGCCATAGCGCTAATATTCTGACACGTACAGATATAGTTTCTCACATAGATTTTTCAACAACGCTATGTCTCGTACAATATCGTTTGAGACTGACCTCGATTGCAAAACCTCGTACACATGCTATGTTCACACTGACTGGCATCCTCGATTGTCCAGGGTGTTATATCCGCATTGCAATTGCGCTTGGCCTTTTCGAATGTCACTTCGGTGTGTGACTGTATTACAAAATTGCTTCCTGGAAAAGTTGGGTTTTTTAAATCTTAACTTCCATGCACGGGAGAAATCCCCCGCTAAGGTGGTACGTGCGGTGAAAGTGGTGACGAGTAAGTGCCATATTTGCATATGCTTTTTATATAGATCTACACTGGATATATCGAAGGTGGCTGACTGAGGCTTTGGTACCACGTAGTTCAGTAGTCGAGATCAGTGTATGTGTTTGTACAGATAAGCACAAGTGTCGGGACCATAGTTAATGCTGATCTGTAAATGCATAGCTGCTTACTATGTGGGCTTCTTGGCCGCTTATTATTGTATTTATTTCAACAGTGTTATGCACTTTAAACGAGTGATGTAGATTAGTAAACGTAAGTGCCTTTGATCTTTTACTGTCATATGAGTCTGGACTTGACAAACCAGTGATGTATGATATGACCAAGGCGTCGGACTCTGTTGTCACGCAGACACGAAGGACACCGAGCCTGGGCCCCGTTTCACAAAGCCCTCGTAGCGCTACGATTGTCGTAAGTCAATGTTACAGTATAGGAAGTACGAATGCTACGAGAAAGGTTACGAGATCTTAGGCATACGAGAGCGTTGTGAAACGGGGCCCAGACCATTACATCCGAAGAAGCACCCCTACGACAAGCCCTATTATAGACCCAATTCTCTAAGGAAATCGAGTTGAAAGGTTGATAGCGATTTGCGATCTGAACCCCGTGATAACCGACAAAGAGTAATGCCATTCTACACCATAACCATGTTACAGTTAAAGTGAGTGAGTGAGTTTGGTTTTACGCCGCTTTTAGCAATATTTCAGCCATACCACGGCAGGGGACACCAGAAATAGGCTTCACACATTGTACCCATTTGTGGGGAATCGAACCCGGGTCGTCGGCATGTCGAGCGAACGCCTTAGCCATTAGGCTACCCCACCGCCCATGTTACAGTTAAAGAACAGCTGGAGTCATGTAACTGAAACTCAACCAATGGTCAACAATATGAGCATAAGCACACTTTGCCGGTGTAGGAAACCCAGTCTGATCACAGCTGAAAGTGATACATTTGTTCGAGACTGAATATTTTTTTGTCATGGTGCATGATCGTTTTTTCGGGATCAAACCTTTTCTTCAAATAAGTCACTACGAGAAACACTGCCATCCCATAACGCGTTATATATTCTAGCAGAATATTGCACTTATGTCTTACCATATTATACAATCAATTTATGTCAGAACATTTATGTGATCAATTTCAACACTGAACTTCTCTCCTAATGCCCTTCTATACGATCTTTCCAAAGCATTGTAACAGACGGTTGAACAAGTTACACAGATGGCCAGTGGACATTCGTACACGAACATCGTTAGTCAACTGTTGTTTTGTCTGGCCATGACAACGGTCCGAGTATTTCTTGGAAAGCCCGAAGTGATGCTGGTATGAGATGTTTACCACCTTGGTGAAATCAACCATATGATACGGTGCTTACAAAAATAGAAGTGAGTGAGTTTAGTTTTACGCCGCACTCAGCAATATTCCAGAAATATGGCGGCTGTCTGTAAATACTCGAGTCTGGACCAGACAATCCAGTGATCAACAGCATGAGCAGCAATCTGCTCAATTGGGAACCGATGACATGTGTCAACCAAGTCAGGGAGCCTGACCACCCGATCCGGTTAGTCGCCTCTTACTACAAGCATAGGTTACTGAAGATCAATATTCTAACCCGGATCTTCATGGGTGGCCCAGTATGAACGTCATGGGGAATCACTTATGAAACCTGAACATGGATACATAGTGAAGTCACCATGTATAAAAACCTGGACCACTGTGCCATCTGTTCCCTAACACATCATTCAACAAGTATTCTCACAGAGCAATATCCACTATCAACATCATGCACAACAGGACACTCAACAATACAGTACAGTTGTATTTATTAGACAACCAATGTATGGTAAAATAACATGTTCCATAGATAATGTAAAACAAACATACACTCCTACCGAGCCCCTTCTGCTGAAGATCAACCAGCTGCTCTGTAAACTTATAGTGATGGTTATGATGTTGACCCCAAGCAACAGCAATGCCCTTTGAATGGCTTTGGAGGGAAAGAACTAGAGGTGCAAGAGTTATTCCCCCCTTGTAGGACAAATAACACAAGTTGGCATGGCGTAGTTCTTCCTTCACATGTATCAGCAATGCATATAAGGAGTAAGAAGGGTAAGATAAGATTTGTTGTACTACAGTCATGAACATGCACCAATATGGTTTCATAAAAATAGAGATACTACAAGATGAGTACACAAGTAGACATTTAGCACTATGAACAATGCAACATAACACACATCAACTGACAATTATACAGAATATGACATCAGAAATGGTTGCTACCTCTCACACACACACACACACACACACCCTCTGGCAGAGAAACACATGCTTTTGACTTGAAAGCTAACATCTAAATTACATGCAAGCTGTCGAATTTACATGTGGGAAGTATATTTGTGGGTTAACAAAACCAAAGTGTTATAATTGATAAGTTATTATAAAAACTAAAAAGATAATTACAGAAGTCCCCATCCCCGCCCCCTTCTTCACCTGATTACCCCCACCCAAAGTTTCCCACATAAAACCTGTTTTGTGAACAGTTTTTTGACTTTATGAATCAACTGTTAGCTAACCTCATCACTATCAACAGGCATCATTCATCTGAACAGCTCTCACTACTGCTTGATACTATGACTCTAGTACTTAAGGTATAATGATATACCTTTCTATTATTGGAAAAAGTACACCCAATGCAAGACAACCTTATAACAGAAAGAGGCATGCCTTTAGCTATCTAAATGATCAAGTAATTTTCACTGTCCAAATAATAACCTTAACCCTCTATTTCAGCCAATCACATTTTCTGCTATAGTTTAAACCATGAGTAACCCCCCCTATAAACGTGTTACAAATACAAGGGATTGTTCACTACACAAGGCAACAGAAGTTAAAAAGACCAACTGTAAATCCTTCTTTAGCTTGAAACTATGACCTTCAGAATAAACATTACCCCAGACACAAAAATAGAATGGGCAATAATGGAGATATGAATGATATGACATCATTAAGACCTCCAAGCACATAGTTTTGAAACCAAGTGCAGCTGTGTCAGTCAAGTAATTGCAAACCGTTAAAGCAGTCCTCTTACATAGGGATGCTTGATAAATAATGGAATAATGAGGACAAACAAATACAATCCCTATCAACTATCACTCTCTCATTACTCTCATCATACAATTGACAGACATGACACATTAGCTGTGTAAGGTAACAAACAATATTTTTACCGAGTCATTAACTAAACTTCATATTCTTAAATAGGTTGGGCCACTGAATTCCCCCAAAAGTATATAGAAATCATTTAGAATTTCAGATTTTGATTTCCTCAATACAACAAAACAATATCTCTATATACAAAAGATTCAGACTAACAAAGCAGTATTTACAAAGTATCCATAAACAAACGATAACATTAACAACGGAAAATATATTAAAGAAAGAGCCTGACGGAAGCTACTGTCATGACATCTGGCAACATGACTGATGATAAATTAGGAGCACTTTCCTCCATAGGAGGTAGATAAAACAGGGCAAGTTAATGTTAACTTCCATGTACATACAGCCCATATATCGGCCTCTGGAACAGCGAACTTAAGATGCTGACTTATTTGGTTTAACACATTTGTTCGCAAGTCTGTTGAAACAATTCATGGAATATAATATTTGTAATTTGAGAGGGATACAAGGCTATTTCATACATTCGTGTAACTAGAGGCAGCATCTGATGCACTTGAATAGGGAAATCACTTTTATTAACCGATGCTGAACATGTTCCCTGCAAGGCATTTTGGGATACTATTAATATGGCACCATTTCCAAGCAGCCAATCACATAGACTTCGGTTCCACATTCAGAATATTCTCATCCAATGTTGAGACGTATACATTTCATGGGTTAAAACATGTTACTGTTTTTTTGTGTTCATATAGATATATGTCCAGGACAATCATTCATGTTACTTGGAACACTTTTGGATGGGACATTGCAGTTAGTGAGAGTCAGTGACATTATTGCCAGGAATTGTTATGTGACTGCATGAAGAAACATTCAGAGACAAACAATCATATTTTCTGTTTTCACTGTTGCAAAAGTTGAATTGGCTAATTAAAGTCCAAATAAGGAAATATTTGGCACCAGATCTTTATGGTGAGAGACCTCACAGAGTCTTACACCACGTACATCAACATTCCAGCCTGATGATGGCTGTGGACACCAGTAGGCTACATGCATCACACTTATGTGGAGAACTAATCTTGTCAGGGCATCTGCTGGAACCACTTGGCTAAAGTTTACCCCGAACAATGGAAGTAGTGAATGTCAAGGTGGGAGAATGATGATGTTATGTACAGATATTTTCTGAAAATGGGCACCAACACCTCAACATAAACATTAATGTGTTTCAAAAAGTACCCCCCAAATCCCTACTTCAAACAAATCCAATCCCAGCATATACGGTCAAACCAGGTATCAATAACTGAGGTAAACTGGTAATAAAAATAAAGAAATAAACTAGTCAAGGGCAGATTTTAGCTGAACCAGAAACGTCTATCCTTGTTTGGGGCCTAAGATTACCAAGCGTGGCCCTGGTACAGCATATATCTGAAGGTTTAAGCAGTGCGATGTTTTTGTAAGTACTGGCTGAGTAGAGGGGACGGAGGAAGGAATGTGTTGTGCTTGTTTTCAACTTGTGTTCTTCTTTCACCATTCTCATCGTAACCTGCAAACAAACCACAGTTCAATGTTAGGAAAAATAGTTAAATATGTCATTATCAAAGCAAATTCTTCCAAAATTACAACAAAAAACCCAGCAATCACTTGATATTAGCTACAGTTGATTCTTGGGCAATACGCTAGTTCTTTGTAGGACCTGATAGGCTCACTGAGACTTCAAGTAGAGGTGTGACGATACGGAAATGTCACGATACGATACGATACGTATCGCGATATCTTGGGAACGATACGATTCGATGTATATCACGATATGCTATCTTTAGTTATTTTCTTTAAAAAAGTATATTTTGATAGCAAGTAACAGTGTAAATTTTTACATAACCGTCAATTTCTAGTGAAAATTAACAATTTTAAGGTCAACGATACATACCACGATACGAACAAAAGTATCGATATATTTATCGTCAGATAAAGTATCACGATTATCGATACTACGATGTATCGTCACAGCTCTACTTTCAAGCGATTTTGGATGCATGACAATCAGCAGATATATTAGTTTTGACAAAACCTTTCCCCTGAACTGGATCGAAGCAGGAAGACTTCCTCTTGTACTTACTTTGAGATCGCAGGTCAAGAAACTGACATAGAGCATGGACCATCATTCTTTCATAACTGGATGATAGCTTGGACACAAACACTGAGCTTGGCCACTCCTTGAAAAATGAGACAATTTCCTCCTCCAAATTCTCCAGGATTCCCTGCACAACAAAACAACAATTAAAATCCCTGTGGAACAATCATTTAGAGCATGTTTCAACCATCCTTCTCAACACTTGCCACAAAAAATGTGACTACGAGTGACAAGATTGTTTAGGTGGAAACAATTATGTGATCTAAAACTGTCAAAAAGTAGTAAAAACACGCTGACATTCAAAATGTGATGTTCACCACAGAAATCTACAAATGTGTGAAGGGTTCTGAACATTGGAGAAAATACACAAAAGAATTGGGACAGGTTGGCAACATGGAAATCATGGTTGTAAAGAATACCATAGGTAGTTGTCTCCTCTTGAGTAAATCCTTCAACTTCCTGTCCACCTTCCTGTAACATTCCTCAGCAGTGAAGGCTGGGTGAGCTGAAAGGGAAACAAGCCTTCATAGCTCGGACACACATGGGCTGAATACTGTTGGCACATCAACCACTAAGTGCTGCCACACCAGTGTAATAGGAGCAAACACCAAACACACTGAACCTCTGATGCACTGCGACACCATGTTACAGTGAGTAAATTGAGTTTTGCAATATTCAAGCAATATCATGGTGTGGGATACAAAAAATGAGCTACCGAAATAGGGAATCGAACCAATGCTTTCAGTGTGACGAACGAATGCTTTAACCCCAAGGCTAACGAACCACCCCTCATGATGCTACAAGATATGAATGCTGTGGGACAGTTACGAGAAGATTATCTGTATAAGATTAAATGACTACAACCTCTATGTTTTGGCTAAATACAAAACAATTCAGGACTGGACTACATTTATGCTTATATACTGTCACACCAAGACATATATCATTTGGTTTGTTTCCATGACTACAGCTTTCGAAATACATCCTAGTCCACTATCCCGAGATGACTGCATTATGCTGAGGATATCAAAACCACTGAAAGTATATTCATGTTTATTACTCACCCATTGAAGATGTCACTGTTTAATAATTTTACAATGTTATTACACATTACACATTGTGTAATAACATCATGTGATGCTGTACATATGACGTAAAACTGGTTTACAGTTATGACTTCACATTGCCAATACCTCTGTCACAATAGTATTAGACCTTGCTTGACTCGCGGAAAGCTGAGAGTGATCACACTTGTTGAATTCTTAGGCAGGGGTGGAAATAACTCATTGCCCGACGTCCGAGTCCAGTGTTTTTTTCTGTTGGGCAAGCAAATTTTTATATCACACTGTACCGGTGTCCAGTTGACTTTCCAATGTTAATTATGTTGTTTATTTAAAAAATCAGCAAGAAAACGGTCGGAATAGTGGAAAAATTATCAGGGCAATTGACTTTACATGTACACTATCAATTTAAAAAGTTATTTCCATCCCTGTTAGGAAAGAAGTACTTTGCTCGATATTATTTTGCTAATGTTGGGTGAGTAATATTTAAAATACTAAACTATGCCAAGTGTAAAACCAAACTCATGAATAAATAAAATACTATACTATGTCCAGTGTAATACCAAACTCATGAATGGTATTGGTATCTAACGAGGGAAAGCATTCACTCGTTTCATAAATATGGTATTACATGGGACATCGTTTAGTAGTATCTATTTACACAACGGACACAACTTACTATCACCACCATGAAATTAACACACATGCACATAAAACATACCCTTTAAAGTCAAGCAAGAAAATCAAGGAAATACCTGTACACATGAGTAGTCAAGCACATACCCAGATGTGTATTAAGCAGTGGCTAGCCACCAACAGGCCTAGTGTGAGTGTCATCATGGACACTGATAGCAGGAGGATTTCACCCAGAGCCACAGTACAGAGACAGCAAACATGGGACACAAGATTCTTGTCGAAAGATTCACACGCTGTCACATATCCCTTTTGTGTGCTTCACCAAGGGTAACATGACGTTAAGATTCCTATATTTCCATAGTAAACATTTTTCCTGAAACTTCTTGTCAGCAAAACAAATTTCTCTAGCTTGATGGAATAATGAAAAATCTGTCAAAATTTGGAAATGACGAAAAGCTCATCTGCAAGTTCAGTATAAATAATTTACTTAAGTGTGAACGTGACACATTTAATACCAAAAAACAGTATCACACGCTGTGCTGAACTGAGCAGTATTACAAACATCCAAGCCATTTTTTCATCCATTCTGCAAAATCAGACAGAGAAGGATCCAGCCTAACATTTCCTCTAAGATTTATCATCTACTAGGATCACAGCGAGGTTCAAACTGTTTCCAGCACCAATCAGGATATGTGACACCTAGAATTATCTGTACCCATGCTACTATCTCTGATCTACTGTGGTGGTACGACGCACCAGTTCTCTTATCTGGAATCTCCTCCCACGAGTCATCCAGGTTCTCATCCGCCGACTCTGTTCTCTTGCTCTGGCTCCTCGATGGATGCAGGATCGTCTCCTGTTCCTCCTCACTTCGGTTCACAAAATCATTCCAGATCTAAAGGGAATATGATGCTCTCTCAAATACACAGATGCCAACATTTATTAGAAGAACTGAATTAACAGTACTGGAGATGATGGTTGAGAATACCTGAAATGTTCAGTTAAAGAACTGATCTTTGGGACATTTAAACTTCACGTTTGTTTTTGAGTATATTTCTAGATACCGAAGGATTCATTCAAACTTGGAAGTACTGCCGATAGGATCAAGCTAAGTCACTCACTCACTCCATAACCTTCAAAGTTTTCTTTTGGAGATTAAATTGGTATAAATCAAGATATCCTAATAATGATAATAACTGAACATATTATTAAAAAAATATGAAAATCATCAGTAGAAAATTACAGTTGTAATGCCATAACACTGTTCCATACTTCCAGCAACAGGACGTAATGGCCACAGCAGCTGTTTTGGACAAGGTGGCCAAGATTGTTGATATGTACCTTCATTTTCTCTCTCTCTGAGAAGAGTTTTTCAAAGGCAGAGCTGCTGGGCTCAAACACGTTGTCAAGCTGCAGCTCCCCCACTTCATCCTTCTCCACTAGAGTCAGCAGCTGACGAACTGCAAGTCACAACACATCACTGATAACGGGTACATAGAAAACCTTGAGATAACAGCATCTTAAAAAGTAAACTCACACAAATAGCACACTGTGTATTGCTTTAATTCAGATAGCAAGGACACTCCAGGTTTGATTTTTTAGAAACTGCTATAACATACATGTACTTGGAACATCATCACTATACAACAGTTATTCTCACTTACTCTCAATCAATGCAAAGCATTGAATTATAACAAAAATTTAAACATGTAACATCTGTCATGTTTGGGAAATAACAGATTGTAGTATTTTTTATTACACCTGTCTGAACTAGAGTACCATTTTGCAGACTTCCAGTTTCGTGGGTTGGATCGCTGACTTTGTGTGCTGAGAGTTAGCTGCCATAGAAACAATACTGTCATGCACTAACTACAACATCTACAGTGTCACTAATATGAGGTGAGGTGAAATTGGGTTTTACGTCGTGCTTGAGAATATTTCGCTCATATGACGACGTGCATGCATGTGTATGTGTATGTGCGCCGGCTTGTACTAGCCCAGACTTAAGCTGGTTTTATAGTGCTAGCCCACTGAGATACCATGCCGCAGTGAAGCATGAATACCCCACTCAGACACATTATACTGACTCCGAGCTGACCAGTCCTTGTTGTACCCATTAATGCCGAGCGCCAGGCAGGGACCAACAAGTACCATATTTTAACGTCTTTTTGGTATGACGCGGCCGGGGAACACTAATATGAAGGTCCAGGTGCCTTGTACATCGTTCACACTTATCCAGTATTATATCAATTAAAAACAAATAAACCTTGTTTGAGTGGCATTTTAGAAGTTGAGACGTACAATATATAACAAGTTTTATGGATAACAACTTCTTTATTTTCGTGAGTGCGACGTTTCGATACAGATTCTTGTACCGTTGTCAAGCAAGAGTGATACATGAAGTGTAGGAGCTGCATATATATACTGTATATAACAATGAAACAACATAATAGACAAAGGAAACAACATAATTGCCATGATTGGCTAAGCAGTAAGCTGATGAAGCCAGTAAGTACATAAAGGATAGTGAATGGAAGCCAGAGATGTAGTTACAATGAGATGTTTATACAATGGATGCTATGTTTATACAATAGACTGGGCTTGGTGGAGGAGTGGATCATAAGCAGATGGAATGAAGTATCCTTGGTCACGGTTGATGGTAGGCTTGTGGCGCTTGATGTGAATGGCTTCTGTGAGCTTGGCGCTTAGTGAAGTCCGCTTGGTTGTTGGCTAGAATGGTGATGTCGGACCACTCTATTTGATGATTGGGGTTGGCTTTGATGTGGTCAGAGATAGCTGATTTGGTGTCGGAATTAGCAACAGAGGTGCGATGTTCTTTGACTCGGTGTTGATGGGTCGGATGTTTCACCTATGTAGCATTGTCCACAATCACAGTCTATTTTGTAAATAACACATTTCGGGTTGTTGTTGTTGACGGTGGGTTGTTTTCTTCCGTTGGCATGGAGGAGGTTGTTGAGGCTGGAGGACGCTGAGAAGGTAGTGTCTATTCCTGCCTGTTGTTTCAGGAGTCGGCTGATTTGGTGTGATGGTTTATTAATGTAGGGAATGGATATCTTGATGGGGGCTGATTCTGGTTTAGACCTTTTGGCAGGAGGTGAAAGCGTTGCTTCGATGGTTCTGTTGACTATTTCAGGTGGGTAGTGGTTGCGTTCCACCAACAACCAAACGGACTTCACTAAACGCAAGCTCACAGAAGCCATTCACATCAAACGCCACAAGCCTACCATCAACCGTGACCAAGGATACTTCATTCCATCTGCTTATGATCCACTCCTCCACCAAGCCCAGTCTATTGTATAAACATCGCATCCATTGTATAAACATCTCATTGTAACTACATCTCTGGCTTCCATTCACTATCCTTTATGTACTTACTGGCTTCATCAGCTTACTGCTTAGCCAATCATGGCAATTATGTTGTTTCCTTTGTCTATTATGTTGTTTCATTGTTATATACAGTATATATATGCAGCTCCTACACTTCATGTATCACTCTGCTTGACAACGGTACAAGAATCTGTATCGAAACGTCGCACTCACGAAAATAAAGAAGTTGTTATCCATAAAACTTGTTATACAAATAAACCTGTTTTCGTAACTTACAATTTTCTGTTCTCCTGGCCTGCTTAGCCCCCATCTTTCTCCTGTTCAAGCATTGATTATCAAGAATCTGTCCGGATCTGCCTCTTGTACGGTTTCGATTAGCATTCCTCCTGCTGCTCTGTGGAGGCAGCTCTGTGGAGGAATCATCATCAGCATGTTGTTCTAATAACCTGAAATGAAAGTCATCGACTGATATTATATGTCACTGCAGTTGGACAGAACTGGCAAACTGTAAATCTTGGAGAATCAACCAGAAACAGAAATGGAAAAAAGGGGAACCACTCAACATCGTGCATATTACCAGCATATATTTGTATTAACTGTTTAAACCTGGGAGTCAGTGAGCGAGTTTAGTTTTATGCCGCACTCAGCAAAATTCCAGCTATATGGCGACGGTCTGTAAATAATCGAGTCTGGACCAGAAAATACAGGGATCAACAGCATGAGCATCTATCTGCGTAATTGGGAACCGATGACATGTGTCAAACAAGTCAGCGAGCCTGACCACCCGATCCTGTTAGTCGCCTCTTACGACAAGCATGGGTTACTGAAGATCGATATTCTTTCAAACCCGGATCTTCACATGCCGTTTTAATCTGGAACAATAATTAAAGTCAACTATGGTTATACAGAGATGGTAACAGGAAAATCTATTTTCAGCGGAAAACTTAATATTGTGCCATCAAGTTGAGGGTTTCTCAATGGATTTAGACGATTCACAATTGAACAATTTGAAATAATATCAGGGAAAATCCGCGGATCAGTGGCACATTGCCATCCCTAGTTATAACAAACTCAAACTAACCACAAATTTTAGTTTGTTATGACTAGTTATTCATACACATTTTGACTGTCAGATTTCTTGGGGGGAAGTTATGTGACTCAATAAATATTAAAGTGTGCACTGTATCTTATGTACTATGTTTGTTCATCATATACAAAACATCAGTACATATATGTTACAAATATATTCATTAGAAACTCTTACTATATATATTTATACATATACATATACATGAAGACACAAGAGGTTATTTGCCGTAAGTGAGGAAACTTCAAAAGCTACAGCATTACCAATACCACTGTTGTATGAGGGTCTAAATTAAGGATAAAGCGTAAATTGGAGTTCATCTAATTTTACACTTAAGTTGCATTCAGCTGTGAATTTGTCACTTTGAAGTTTTGCCGCAGAAGTTTTGATAGGCTGATTGTGACAGTTTATTAAAAACATAAACAACCAAAATGTTGTTCGGTTGGGATTTTGTCCGTCCCCTGCAATTATAAATTAGAACAATGATTCGGCTAGTTCAACAACGTTAAACGTATTGGTAGGCCCCATTTATTGTCGGATATTTACTATGGCGAACTATGATTCGGCCAGTACAATATGAGCGCTGAAACACGAAATAAATTATCCGATTGACATTTCAATTCTGCATGAAACCTGAGTGATATCCTACGTCACCATGCGCATAAAATTAACAAACATACACCTATCCTCTCTGTCTCCCTGTGAACATGACCCCAGCTTGACATTCTCAGTTGTCATAACGTTCCGCACCTGCTTCACTCGTGACCCATTTGTGATCAAAAACATTGAACTCGTGCAAGGCTATTTTTAGTAACATCACCAAACCGCTTGGAACGTTGTTTTGCAATACTTATAACAGCTACCTCATGTTGTCATCAACAATATAACAACCAAACAACTCCTTTTATAAGAATCAGCCGATATGTTCCACGTTATTTCGGGGATGTTTCACATTACACATATGAAAATCTGGCGCAATGATAGAAATTTGACAGTTGGGTTGTCAATATTATTTTTGGTCTATGCGTCGATGGTACATACTCGAGGTCATCTTCAACAAATTCATAGATGAACAGATCCCTGTTTTCTCTTGTCACACCCATCGTTGTTCCTGAATATCTTCAAGAGCGCTCAATCTCACTTCTCTTCGACCTTCCTGATGTCGACAGACTACTTCTTGCCAGCCAATGACGAAATGTACAACGGTAACGTACAAAAGATGGATTATTCGACTAAAGCGAGACGAAACATTGTGAAGTGCATTCAAATAACGGAATCTTACATAATCGCGAATTTACACAAAGACATATGTTCAGGCATGAAAGTGGAAAACCAACATGAAAACATGTAAACGCAATCTAACTTCTGAACGTTAACAGGAGCTGGCACGAAAATAACACCGGCGTCAGGCGTCTGCTAAACTGTTGTAAAAGAGAACAGTTTGATGGTTGACATTTTTCTTGTCATTGTTACAAATTCATATTACATGCACAACGCATCAGTTTAAATTCCAATTCAGTATTGGTGAGATTTCTGTGTCAGTGTCGCACGCACAATGTTACCAAACGTTCTTATTGTCATGCTCGAGGTGAAAAGAATGTTTTATTGTTGAATCCGTGAAACTGTAGCCTACATCAGGGACAGCTCAGTAACATGTTTCCCTAGTGTGTATTTCCCCAGGCCCATGCTTGGTGTCATTGTACAGTGTGGGGATTAGCAAATTAAGCTTTCTTATTTTTCACAGTCCTTCTTAATAAATGAATTTGGGGATTTAAAAAATTAAATCAATCAAAACCTTTAAATAAGCAAGCGATATGTCCATGGTTCGGACACAAATCAGATTCCAGTGATCGGATCTCCAATACCATTTTAGAAGTTGTAAAGATGAAGGCGATTCATCGCTTGCTTGATAACGGCGTTAGTACGTACATCGAAATGTCGTACTAATTGCAATAAAGAAGTTGACTATCCATAGAACTTGGTTTTCTTTTTCCAATACCTAATTAATTTCTCAAGTGACTTCGTTTTGTTAAAAGGAAACCCTCTTTTAGTCAAATAATTAAGCTTAAATCCGTTCACAGACAATGCTTTATTTTTAAATGCATCATGGAAATATTTCTACTTTTTAATTTGGTACATTATGATGAAGAAACACTTGTTCTGGGAGAATAAATATGAACAAAAAATATATTTTCAAAAGGTAATAGTAATTTATATTTACTATTGGATATTTAAATAATCTCGTTTCGTGTACGGGTCCAGCTTTTGTATGTAACAAAATCATACCATACATGAAAAAAAAATGTTTTTCTTTCCAGCTTGATATATAATAATGTATTTCTTCTAATAAAGAGCGTAAAATATAAACGGTAACACACGATCAGTAAAAATGATGTTTTCAGAGCGATGAATAATCTCGTACCTTTCGAGATCCAAATTTTGATTTATTCAAAATGGCCGCACTCGTGTTTATGTTTGGCATGTTGATACTAGTGCTCACGATTTTTCTCTTAAGATATGTACTATTTTTAAATGACAAGGTTGAGTATACATTTGAGAACAAACCTTCCTTCCAAAGGATAATATTAAGGGCTGTTTTCCGAATTGTCGGACGAAAACAAGGACGTTTATACATTAACAAGAACGGCGCAGGTGTGTCGTCTGCTCGAGACACGCCCACTCAAGTCGGAACAGGTGGGAAGTCACACGTGTTAAACGAAAGGAATATCAGACCAGCTAACCCTTTGCATAAAGTGTCAATTACGAATTGCAGGTATGTATCGTATCATGCTATGTAAGCTCTCTCTTGTGTAAGACAATCAGTGTCTGTCCCTTACAGAGAGCACCAATGCCACCAAAACCTGAAGATTCACACTTGCGTTGCAGTCAAGTATTTGTTCGACCATCTCTACTGATATTGTATTGTAGTAAAAATATTTTTTCATGTGTAGTCTTAGTCCAGTGACATTTCAAATGTTGTCTAATGTGCATGAAATATGCATCTTTTGACAGGTTAAGAAAAGCTTCAATGTTTTAATAACACTGACTGACTGACTGAGTTTAGTTTTACGCCGCTTTTAGCAATATTCCAGCAATATCACGGCGGGGACACCAGAAATGGGCTTCACACATTGTGCCCTTGTGGGGAATCGAAACCGGGTCTTCGGTGTGACGAGCCAACGCTTTAACCACTAGGCTACCCCACTGCCCCTGTTTTAATAACAAATTTGACAGGATTCATAAAGATATCATATTGAATTCTAAAAAAATATTGTTGTTATCGTATTCATTTTTTCTTTCTGGTTTCTATATGGTATATCAGTGACCATTGCCTGTTTTGTCACATTGCCAACACTGGCATAGGAACACTTGTTGATTAACATAATACTCTCATCTTTTTTGTAGACTGGATACAAAGTCCATAGAAGCATACAAGAAGATATCATGTGTGAAGACACATGATGCTGTTCCTATCTGCTATCCTGAAACTTTATTTATGCGATTATCAACGTTTCTTGCAACCTCTTTGAAAGCTTTTTTGAGCCCCTTAGGTGAGAATATGTGTTTCAAGTATTATTTTTTGATAGATTCAGGGATGTGAATTTTCCGCAGATCCGCGGAATTCCGTGAATTTGATAGCACTGTGGTCATTCTTGTGAATTGTCTTAACCCCCAAGACCCTTTGCTCATTTTCCTCTTTTTTCACTCATACCCATTCTCATCGCGGATGTTTATCAAATATTCTTTACAACTAAAATCAACTGTGAATAGAGATGAAGCAAATTCACTACAAAGGATATACCATAATTTGGAACTGTGATTAATACAAATTATCCACAAACCAGACTATAACAGGCAATAATAATAATGTCACCTATAACAAACAAACCAGTCATGATGAAACCTGAACTGATCCCTTTGGGGAAACAGTATCCAATGCTTATGGTTTATTCTCCACTAAATTTGAAAATGTATGTAATAGTTAACCCACTGACAAAGACCAGATACATTACCTTAATTAATACCATATTTAGGTCACTATTGTTTCCAAATTGGTAGACATTTTGCTCAGGACTTTGGGATTCGTTATTCACATCATATTGAACTATTATTTAATAGTGAAGACATATTTTCAAGCAATTGTGTGTGTCATGCCATGGCATGCAGATTAAACACTATTTCGATCACTGCACTGTCATTATGCTTTTGAACTGACTTTGCAGTTTTTCTGTAAGTGAACATATTGAATGATCAGTACTGATTAGTCAATCAATATAATACCCTACAGACATTGTATAACAATCTGGTCTTCTCTCCAAAAGGGAGGGGTCGACTTTTTTTATTTTGTGTATTTGGACATATCTTGCCTGATCATAGAGTGATTGCTTTTAGCAATATTAAAGCAATATCACAGCAGGGTACAGAAATAGGCTTCACATATGTTACCTCACGTGCTGACTCGAACCCGGGTTTAACCTGTCGTGATGAGTGACTGTTTTAAACACTATGCTACCCCATTACCACTGAACATCAACTGAAATGGATGAAGTGATCAAGCTCTGTGACTTGGATAACTGCACGTTATCACCCAACACCCTTGTTGTCAATTGTTCCTCATGCTTTGTTCATGTTCATTGTTCCTTGTTATTTTCACAGCATTCTTACGCTGTCTTTTTTATTATTGTTACAGGTCTGATTCACATTAAGCAGACAATAACTCAGCACTGTCCTTTGGATGATCTCCTGGATGGTGGATTCGACCTCCATGCTAGAGTAGTACACTATGTGGAAGTAGAGAAAGGGATTGAAGGATATGCTGAATTTAAGGTCACTGACTGTCACAACTTGTGTGTTTGGGAAGGTATGCTCACAGTGTTGTCCAGGAGTCCAAAAGCACAGAAAGTGGAACATCAAGAAACACTCTGAGAACAGCTACAACCGAAACTGTTGGTATGAGTTGAAAAGTTGGTCTTACGTTTTATGTAACATGGTCAAAAAGACATATTCTGTTCATTCAGTTGTCCTCAAGTCTTCCAAGTAACGACAGGTAACCTGATCATTCAGTACCACAATACATATCAGATTAGAATTTCTCACATGCCATCATCAATATTTCACAGATTTTTATGCTATGTTCCCCCCTTCTTGAACAAGACTTGATTGTTAACAGGTTTCTGCTGCAATGATAGGATCTAGGATGTAATCTGACTGTACCAGAGTTAATTATTGAACAATGATGAGAAATACGTTCCTGGAATTCAATGTAGAAAGATTCGTTCTTTGGTTTCTATTTCACACAGATGATAACCAGCTTGGTGAGTGCCTCCTTCAAGTACCCCTAGATACAGGTGTGCAATATGCCCGAGCTACAGCAGACTGGAACCCTCACCATATATATCCCTGGACAGCCAGACTGCTGGGTTACAGGGCACCAATAGCACATGGAATGTGGACTCTGGCTAGGACACTGGATGAACTCTTTGGAAATGGTAATCTCAGGCTTTGGAATAATCTGATAGTCCTGTGCAAAATATCTTCATCCTATTAAAGCATGGATAATTCATATTTTTTATTCTAAACATGAACCTTCCTTTAAATTTCTAAAGTAAAACATGCCCAATTTCAAATGTTCTAAATTTGAAACGTCCTAACATGATGTATTTATGTATTTGTATTTGTAAAAATGTTTCCTTAGACATTAATCTCAAAGGAACCTGCCGTAACATTTTGTCCAAGAATATCTGTAACACAAGATGTGAACAACCAATCCAATTATAAAAAGGCATTCTTTATCAGCTGGATTCATAGAGGAAATCCAGAGATATACATGTATATTGCAGGTTATTCAACCCTTGCCCCAGAAAACTACTGGTTTATTACACCATATAGTTGGAATATTGCAGAAGGTGTCATTAAACAAACAACCCAGTGTATAACTCTTGTAGTGCCTTGAAAAAAGCTATGTCATCAAATATGATACAAGACTGTGTTTTTTTGGAATTGCTACCATACATCTATGGTATTCTTTTAGTATTTTACTGATCAACTCTAATACGGACTAAAACTCTTCCAAGTCAACATTTTGCCTTGATGTCATATGGATGTGCAGCTGGACTTGTCCAGATCTGTTAATATCACATCAGATACTACTGTGGCTTTTAAGAATGGTTATTTTCTGGAGCACTGATTGTAACTGAAAATGTGCTGTGGATGGTTTTCAAATATGGTAGAGATATTAGAGAATGTCCTATCAAATGTTGATAAAATCAATAAATGTCCAAATATCATTTGCCTTTAGATGTCTAATACTGTGTCCATTTATTCAGTTATCTCTCCAACATCGAGAGTCCTCCTACTGTAAGCTTCCCTCATTAAATTTTGACCTTACAGGCTTGTGGGATATCTTATCTTTGGCAAACAGGGGCAAGGTTGGAGATTTTATAATGCTTCATATGGTTACAATAACATGCAAAAGTATTGGTAGGGGTTAATATTATTATTAAATTTAAAAAAATCACTTATGGAAATGTTATTTGTTAAACAGAATAGTCCTAATGTGCAGCATCTAATCCTGGATTATGGGGAATGGTTTGATGAGACTTTGATACCGTATGTTTCAAATGAATTGCTTTCTTATCTTCCAGACAATGTGAAGAAATCCTATCCTATTCATGTTGATGCCACCTTCAAACGCCCTCTTTTCATGCCTGGTGTGGCGAAGATACAGTATGGTAAAGACAAAATTGATAGGTCACAAATGTGGTTCAAGTGCTGTGAGCTGTCTTCAGGAGCACCCATTGTTTTAGGTTCTGTGCAGATGGGGAAGTAGCCATCTTCATGTGTATGGCTGTATTATTCACCAATGTATGAGTGCATTAGGACTGCAACAAATCCACAATGAGGCAAATTTGATACATATCCCGAATATTGGGTAACAAATACGAATACTGGGTGTTACAGTGTTATATATTATTCAGTATATTGAGCGAAACCATAACAAAATATGTTATTTGACATGTTTTGATCATGCTGACAATGTTAATTATTCACGATAACGACCAGTGACCACAGTACTATCAAACTGGGTATGTTAGAGTGTTGACGTTATCCTTCCTGGATTGAATATATTCATTTTTGCATATCACATTTTGAGAATTAAGACCTGAAGTCACTGAAAAATATCATGAATATTCGATTCTAGTCTTTGCAATGAATGAATTCAATTCATGACAGGATATGTTTCAATTCAGCAAATTTATGAGTGAATCTAACAGCCTTAGTGTGTATCATAATGCTTTGTGGAATAAATGCAAGATTTGGTTCATGAGGTCATGTATCACATATATGCAGATATGGAAGTTATCACACGTGTTTTGGGATGCAAAATATCCTGTATTAGGAATACACTTTGTATTTAGCAAACTTTCGCGTCAAGTGGACACTATCATGATGGCCTCTTCATTATATAATGTTATTCTGAAATTTTGATGTTGAAAATACATTTATTCACCGAAGTTGCCAAACATTCAACAGTCCTGTTTCGTGGAAGCAAGTGAGTATAATTTTACGCTACTTTTAGCAATATTCCAGCAATATCACAGCGAGGAATTCCAGAAATGGGCTTCATATATTACCCATGTGGGGAATCAAACGTGGGTCTTCAGCATGACAAGTGGACACTTTAACCACTAGGCTACCCCATTACCCCACCACCCACTTGGTAGAAGTAATTTTTCCAGATTCCTGATGGTTAATTCTGAGTTGATTGTCAACTGATAAGGGCAGCATGATCGTATGTCAGTACTGAGAGTAGTACCTACCTGACATTTCATATTTGCATTTTCATGTGTTCATGACTGCAGTACATGCCGTTTTTACCCCTTTATCCAGCCAAAAAAAACTACCCATAAAATGATAAATATATTACACATCATAAAGCCATTACTTGCCATGTACTGCAGCTGACTTGTAGGATTGCTGTATGTATTTCAGTTGTATTCCCATTGATGGTGTGCTATTAAGTCTTTATGTTTATTTGTTGCATACATCATAAGTACTGTAGTGTTACATGTTTAGCAAGGTACTGATTTACCAAATTGTGTTCTCTGCCTTGTTTTTGATGTAGAAAAGCATATTGAAATGATAACTGTGAGTAGTGTGAATAATTGAGGAGTTTGTTATAAGTTAATATTTGTCTTTATGTGATACATCTGTCTATCATGAATCTTTATTGTTTGATCGTCATTCTTGAAGTTGGTGACTCAAAAATGAAACATACAACTTTATGCATGACAACTTCTTATTTATTGCATAGAGACTCATGCAATGAATACGAAGTTGTCATCCATAAAGTTGTATGTTATATTCATAAATCTTTAGATTTTCAATGTCTCCGAAATTGCAAGGCATTTGATGCTCAATGTTTGTATACATATGACCTCAGAAAGGTATTCAACCTTGATTAATTGCTCAGATTGTACAGGTGTAGTGTTCAGTAGGGATAATATGTTTCTTATTCCACTTATAGATATTACTAGTAGATGTGCTCGTGTGTTTGGTGTCATAATGTTATGGTATGGGTTCCTTCTCTGCCCTGCAGATTTGGATGTGTCATACACATATAGGGCGGTGGGGTAGCCTAGTGGTTAAAGCGTTGGCTCGTCACCCCGAAGACCCGGGTTCGATTCCCCACATGGGCACAATGTGTTAAGCCCATTTCTGGTGTCCCCCGCCGTGATATTGCTGGAATATTGCTAAAAGCGGCGTAAAACTAAACTCAGTCAGTCAGTCATACACATATATGTAACACCAGTGTATGTATGTCTAAATCTATAGCTAAACACACATGGATATGTGGTATGTGTGTAAGAGAGAGTGGGGTTTAACGGGTAACATGAATATTTTTTCCAGTGACAGTGCCTTACAGCCAACATTTTTTTAAAGTTTGGCAAATTATTTATTGTTTTTATACATTTTCAGGTGAGAAGTATTCGTATACCATTGCAGTGGTTCTTTTGATAATATTTTATTGAGAAAGAACTTTGAGATTTTACTAATAAATATGTTTGAAATACATATTCTTGTTTATGATTTTGGTTCTGCGCTGAGGCTCCTTTCAAATCAGTTGTACTTATCTCAGTTGGTAACACACATAATGAGAACAATAAAGACAAAGTTAGTCATGGCCTACTTTGAGCCTTGCTTTGTGACTTACTGAAACTTATACTGCAGATCCAAAAGCTTGTATGATTAACTGGTAATGAAACAAAGTGAAGCAACTCGTCAAGATACGGAGCATATGTTCCAGGCACCAGTAAAATGTAGAGAACTCTTACACATGTATCTGGAGTGAGTGATGAGTGTGGTTCTACCACTTAAGCAATATTCCAGCACTATCACTGCGGGGAACACCAGAAATAAGCTTTACACGTTGTACACATTGGGGACTCGAACTGGGGTTTTTGGCGTGAGGAGCTGTGGCTTTAACCACTAAGAAATCCCAACGCCCCTCTTTATCTGGAGAGGGGCGGCGGGGTAGCCTCGTGGTTAAACCGTTCGCTCCTCACACCTATTCCCCCACATGGGTACAATGTGTGAAGCCCATTTCTGGTGTCCCCCGCCGTGATATTGCTGGAATATGGCTACAAGCGGCGTAAAACCAAACTCACTCACCATTAGAACAATGTCAGCTGTATTCACCTCGTTTGACAGACTTCGTGTATTTTTTTCACGATGGCAGGGATAATTTGACAAAATTATGCTATACCCATGTAAAAGACAAAGGACAGGTTATGGCGTATAGCGAAATAATACGGCATTGCTGTCGTTTGATTCTGATGCAAGATAAACTTTTCATATAGGAACCAGCATGTGTTTTGTGATATACTGAAACAGCAGGTTGCTTGAGAGTGGAGGAGGAGTTGGCAGTTGTATTCATTTAATTAAATATGACATGGTTTGGATAATAAATGCCATTCATAAACTACATTTATTGGTTATATTAAATTACTTTCTGATTAATATTTCATTCATAATCAGCCCGACTGTTATATGAGCCTTTGCGTAATAATAAATTTTAGATTTTAAGAAACCTTAACTAGAATGCCAGCACATATAGTGTGAGAGTGAGCAATATTCCAGCTATATGGCGGCGGTCTGTAATTAATCGAGTCTGGACCAGACAATCCAGTGATCAACAGCATGAACATCGATCTGCGCAGTTGGGATACGATGACATGTGTCAACCATGTCAGCGAGCCTGACCACCCGATCCCTTCAGTCGCCTCTTACGACAAGCATAGTCGCCTTTTGTGGCAAGCATGGGTTGCTGAGCCATCACACATAGAAAAGCAGACTGGGCTGACATAAGTTGTGTGTGTGAGAGTGCATGCGTGAGCTGTTTGCAAGTGCTTGGCCGGACTAATACCGGTTTTATTATGCTAACCCAGAGAGATTCAACAGGTACCACGTTTAACGTTCACCAAGTGATAAATGCCTATGACTCGCCTTACGTGGGACGTTCCTCCCATATTATACATACATACCGTAATTTGTATAAAAGAAACACCGAGGACCATATACAGTGCGAATCAGGGATTTGAACCTATCAACCTTCGCCTTTAGGACGCCCTCTATATCAGCAGCGAGAAATATGCAATCACATTTATTTGTTCTCTTCGCCCGCCTAAAATCACTAACATCGCCCCATCTACATGCATTTACTAAATGCTGTCCAATACCCACGTCAGTGACACACTACTGTCAACAAGAGGCTGTACAAATCATAAACTCACTGGAGCGACGAAACGATTTATGCTATTATGCACATTATCTATATAACCTGAATATCTATTCATATGAACGACAGCTAATATCGAAAATTGTATTGCAGTATAGGACGAGCGCTTGCCTCTTTTGTGGGTATATTTGTGCGGTGACCAGTCTGATTTGTTGGCTGTCAATAAACTATTCAACTTTCAATACAGCCATTCATACCCTCTCACTACAAGAAGCATGTACGGCGTGAAACCTACAACATATATACAGTTATCTATTTGTATACATTTGGTCATGAGCAGCAGTTGAAACAACACCACCATGGCAGGTGCTTTACCTGGTTGAGTATTGCAGGAATATACATGGCAGACAGGAACCTATTCCTCGGAACTTATTCCTTTGTTGCAAAATGGAAACCCCGTGGACGTATCTTGGACACAATACGCGAATATAGGACGAGTCTCATGCTGTCCACAGGTAAGGCCGATATAGTACAATCGGATTATAAACCACAGACATTCCGTTCCAATTTTATTACCATCAGTACTTTCGTGTCTTTTGCTATGTTAAGAGACGTTGTAGCCAATTACTGAAAAAAAGAAATCAAGTTTATTCAGAATTTATGGCCTCGTGACCAGAATGTGTTAATCAACAATGTCAATTTTTCACACGTATTAATCGATGCAGTTAAATGTCTCCTTATAAAATACACCTACGTTATGTTAATAAACAAGGCAATAGGTTGGAACATATTCATCCCTTCCTCCTGTATAATAGGGTTATATTACAGAAGATGTTATTTATCTATTTTACAGTCAAACGGTTTTTTTACGAAATCAGGTTTTTAATATATTGAAGGCATTGCACTTTTAACATATTTGATTAACATAGACATTTACATCATATCTCAAGTTGGTACCTTTCTGATTCAGGAATTGAATTATACTAGAAATGCCATTGTCAAAAAACACTGTTTATCTAGTTTCATGTCATTTTTCGAATATCTTTGAATAGCAACAGCAATACTCATAAAGTATGACATATTTCCACAGTCTTGGTCCTCAACCCAAGAGAAATGTTAGTTTAAAATGGACTAGACAATTTATTTGTTTTACTCCTCAGACTGAAGAGTAACAAGTATTTGGAATGGGAGACGAATCCGTTAAGTAACCCACGCCAGTATTTAAAACAACGTCAATAATATTGTATAAAACGCCAATGTCTACTATGACATTGTAGACTGAAAAGTGTAATGTAGTCAGTCATTCAACAGTGTGATAGAAGGTGAACAGTGATTACAACAATATTGCCAGATCTTCATTGGGAACCTGCAAGGGATTACCCACTACTGCGTTTGAACGATAACCATCCCCGAAGATCCGGGTTAGAATTGATCTTCAGCAACCCATGCTTATCGTAAGAGGCGACTAACGAGATCGGGGGGTCAGACATGTTTGAAACACGTCATCATATCCCAATTGCGTAGATCTGTGCTCATGATGTCAATCACTGGATTGTCTGGCCCAGACTAGATCATTTACAGACATCCGCCAGATAGGTGCAATACTGCTTAGGGGCTGAATAACAAACACACAAAATTAATGTCTGAATGCTGACACCTTTAAACTCTTTTGTGCTGTCAATAAGAATACCAACCTCATACTTACTGAATGATGTCGTATATGTATATAACAACATATATATAAATACATCATCGGTTATATTCCTGCAGGTTCCCCTAAAGAGCGGAGCTCGGTGCAAGTATGAAACAGTCGGTATTTCAACACAGAGTTCAGCTTAGAATGTCGTGTTAAGTACAGGCAGATTGCACCATGGCGTACAGGCGAACAACGAGCGTGTCAGAGAACGACCCTGTGTACAGAGTGGTGCGCCCCAAACTCCGCACACCACACTTATTAAAAACGGACCCATTTAACACCAAAGTAAGTAAATAACAGGCCTCTTCCCTGTCATGTACGAAACATGTTATAAAGCATGTTATAAAGACTGTACTGTGAATTAAAAGTGCAAAATAATCCTCATGAGATCATTTCTTTTGTAACTGTCATGATCTCTAAAATTTTTTATTATTTTGTATCTGATACGTTGAACCCTTGAAATAGACCAAAAACAAACAAACCAAAAAAACCCATCAAAACCTAGATGTATATCCTTGATTCCTGGAATGAGTGAATTTCACTCTCTAAATGGAATAGCAGTCAGATTGGTTGTAATTAATGTATGAATACTTTGTAATCTTCGAGGCGCCCTTCCCTGTTAATTTGTCCGGATAAACAAATGTCCGGATAATCGAACAATGAGCTTATATGAATCACAGTTAAGCGCAAATAGGGTTGCGCAACAAAGAGAAAATGACCAATCTTCCTATATGCAAGCGAGCATATAGGAAGACTGGTCATTTTGTAATTGTTGCGCACTCCTTTTTACGCTACAGTTGGCGTGTGTATGCATGGACAAAACAGCCGGGGAAAAACCAAGATACACACGTTGGATGAAAATGAAATACAAAAGGAATGGTACTTAGACGGTGGCGTGATAATAACGTTTGTAAGATACATAGTTTTTGTCAGGCTGTTTATACGAACACCGAAACAGAAACTATCTGAATGCTTGAGTGTCTAACCTAGCGCAATGTTTCAATGTATTTTAAAATACTGTAGTAAAGATAAAGTGACAAATATACTGTATACTGTAATGACTTTTAAGAGATCGAATGTAATATCATAAAAGACCCATGAAAGTTGTTGAAAAACTGATCTTTGCGATACCTATCCAGGTTTTCGTAATAGTCAGGGATTGTGAAACAATTTGAAAGTATAT